AACATCCTGCGGCTCTGACTGCAGCGCTGAGAGGGACTCCTGCGAGAGAGCGGGGAGGCGCCCCACGGCAGAGTAGGAACGACGCATGCTTGCACGTAAGAGTCTCCAAAAGTCGATGATGAAATTCGTTGCCAACGCTTTTAAAAGTCGATTTTTATCGATTCGTTGTTGCAGCCCTACTTTACTACATTACTTATTTTTCTTCCTAGTTCTGACTTCTACTCATTACATTTTCACACAAGTATCCGTACGTTCTATTCCTTACATTATTAAAACGAACGTCACTCATTACTCTTGGCTTTGGTTTAATGTTTATAAATATTTATTTCACGTCATGGTCGCCATCCAATGCAGATCATTGGCTCCATCCACATCTAGTGAAAACTAGTGTAATTGATGAGTCATATAACGCAAACACTCATTGGTTAGCTAAAAGGAAATCATCACAAGCAAGCAGGTGTTCTTCAAACTATAAACGTCAATCGACTATGCCATGCTACAATGTCGGATTCAGAAAAGATGTTGAAATGTCTGAAACGTCGGACACAGGCGAGAGCGTATCGGGAGGTGGAGACCAACTTGGCCCTATCTTAAAGAATTTTAGAAATAGTCAAAAAATTTAGTTTTCAATTCATATAGTGGCATTTGGCTGTTTTTTTTATTTTTAAAGGTTACTTTATACTTTTATACTTTAAGTAGATTTTGGAGCACAAACTTGTGTTATAATCTAAGGGCACCAGACTGTAAAGGCAAGTGAATTATTCATTAAAGCCTAAACTAAAGCCTAAATATCTATTATTTAAGAATTTAAAATAAAGCCTAATATTCAAAGCAGAATAAAACTTCTAATCTTTTCTGCACCAATAAAAAAAGGAGTAAAAAAAAAGCCAACTTTAAAAAGTCTGGATTTTTACAAAACAAAACAGCTTGTTTCAAAAAGCACACTGAAGAAAATTCTGTGTTTTTTGCAACAGAACATCCATGATATCCAAACAGGAATGGAGGTCATAGTTTAAGCCCAAAACTGAAAGAAACTGTTGAGATTTTTTGAATGAACTCTGCATCCTACTAGTTTCATTTCAGCTTTTAACAACCTCAAAGCAATCACACACTTAATCACCTAATGAACTTAAAAAATACTGATCTGTTTCATCTGACTGGTTGTCCCTGTATATTCACATGAGTAAACACGTTCTGGTTATTTCAGTGACATGTCACTACATGCAGCCTAACTGCAGCTTAGCAGAGCAGGATCAATATACCCGACAACCTTTTTCTGCAGGAAAGAACAGCCAGGTATACAGGATACATGGTTGGAAAACACAGATTAGAGGCTATATGGTTTGCATTAACTGTCAATGAAGATATTTTATAGTAAACTCTGATCATCTTATCCACCAAGTGGGCTTTATTGTTGCCAAATTGCAGTGTTCTTTGTTGTATTGCTGCAGCTTTACAGAATAGGATTTAAAAGAGGAGATGGATCTCCAAAAATGCCAAAAAAGGAGAATAAAGTTTTTGTTGTCCTTTATATCGGTCACCAGAATTATGTGTTCATGAAGGCTTATTTTTTTGGAACTACATATTATTTTTACTACATAATTATTTAGGCTAAACAGTGAGAGACATGATGACTCTCCATGACCTGTTTTAAGTTTGAACTACACAATATGCCACTGAATTATCTAAATTAACTAAGAATATATACCGTAAATTCTCTAATATTGGCCTGTATTCCA